ATAAATTTTTATATCCAAGCATCCCCTTAAATTATGGCTCGGTTTTCAATAACTATTGTGATAGAATTGATTGACTTGATTTTATTTTAGTGTTAATACCACTAAATGGCCATATAAATATACAAAACACAAATTTTGGCCATGTTTACAAAAAAGTATCTTTTTTAGCCATTTTGACATGTGTGTTTACTAAACTACCCCTAACTCAATTTTAACTCTAAACTATTTTTATTTCCCATTCAATTCAATTCATTTCAGAATTCATCCCCGACCCGCGTCCGAAAATTCATCTTCAGAGAAAACATCTTCTTCAGGCCAAACCTCACGACCTCGAACTCGACCTCACGACCTCGAACTCGACCTCGTCCGGACACCGTCCGAACGACCTCACGACCTTTCCATCGACCTTGCCTTCACGACCTCGACCTCGCCTTCATCTTCACGACCGAACACCGTCTGGGGAGTTCCACCTCCGCCTTTCACACTTCACGACCTCTCCTTCAAGACTCTTCATGACCTCGCCGGAATCTGAAATCAGGTAGTGAAAGTGACGACCTCACTTTTTGGTTCGAATTAGAGTTTTTTTTTGTTTCGAATTAAAAGTCCCTTCATGTTCGAATTAGGGTTTTTTTTTTTGTTTGTATTAGTGTTTTTTTGGTTTGAATTATGGTTTTTTTTCCAAACTCAGATTTGGATTAGGGTTTCTTCATTTTATCATAGAGCTTGGAGTGCTTAGTTGGAGGTCAGATGCTGACAACTATGAAATAGATCCAGAGCTAAAAAAAATTCGTGAAGCTCGTGGATATTCTTACATGGTATGCTAGTTGTGAAGTCTGGATATTTGAGGATTTTTTCTTTTTAATTTGATAATTTTTCTTTGAAAAATGGTTATGTGTTTTGTGTGTAATACTAGTCTGATTGGACTTGTAACAAATGTTAGGACTTTGGCGAAGTTTGTCCTGAAAAGCTTCCAAACTACGAGGAGAAGATTAAGAACTTTTTTGAAGAACATCTGCACACTGATGCGGAAATCGGTATTGTATTGCAGGGAGTGGTGAGTGCATGATGTCTATAAGTTGAATTGGTGAAATTTAAGAATCTAGCTAATTTTATTCTCACATGTATAAGTAAATATATTCTTTTAAAGGTTATTTTGATGTGCGTGATCGTGATGAGTCTTGGATCCGCATTTGGGTTAAGAAAGGGGCCTTGATTGTCCTACCAGCTGGGATTTATCACCGTTTTACACTTGATTCAGACAATTATATCAAGGCAAGGATCATATGAGCATGTGTTAAGCTTCTGTGAACCAGAATGCTTGCTTTAAACTATTTATAGATGGTGAAACAAGGGGTCAATCATTGTTTTTCTTGTTGGCCTTTTACTTTTTGTTGATTCTTCTTTTACTATTTTTTAATATATTTAACTTTTGAATTCATATTTGAAGTTTGCTGATCAAACTCAGATTTTCCACTTTCCTGTAAGTTTCCATTTTCTCCTTCAGCAAAAGTTTGGGTTTACTTCATTCGATGGCATAATTTGATTAATTTCTGCCATAATTCTTGAGTTTTTGCTTCTTAGGCTTATAAATATGTGTATTAGGGCATTTAATGTGCATCTATCACGGCATGAATGTTAATGTTTGGACAGATTTTTATTGTTTAATATCGACTGCATGATGTTGAGACCTTGGACAGATTTTTATTGTTTGGACTGTATGATGTTTAATTTGTTTGGTCAGTTGGGGGAGATGAGATTGAGACCTTGGCTAATACAAAAGCGAAATTGGGCTGCTAACTCATATCTCGGTAACTAACTGGTGCGCGATTTTTATGTGAGATTTTTATTGTTTGGACTGTATAACTGGTACATTCTCGTTTTGGTTTCACTCATATCTCGGTTACTAACTGGTGCGCGAGTTGAAGCCCAGTCCTTTCTGAAGTGGGCTGCTTAATCATACCTACTGATCTGATATTAGTTTTGATTTCTACATCCTGCTCTTTTTTTTTTCACATTCAAAGTGTAATTATTGGAGATATAAATATATTTTCATATGATAGTAACAAATTGGAGTAGTTTCACGTAAAAGAATATTTTTAAGATGCTTTTATGCATTAAAAGTTTGGGGCCAGCTCCTAAAATTCTCCCACTGGTTATGAATGAATCCATGTCATCCTCATTATATTATTATTATGATTATTATTATTATTTGATTGCTATACGACTATATATATCTATTAAGTGCTCCAATAAGTAGCAAATATCTTCTAGGTATTCCTACCTAATTTTGATGAAAAGCATTTTCCAGGGCTGGAGGATCACAAAGGCTTCCTAGATTAGTTGGAAAGTCCTTCGAAAAATTGGTGGCAGAGATGCATTGTCCATGGGTATATCAACTTTTCTTTATTTTCATCTTAGTAAATATTAACATCCCAGATATGAGATAATTTACTCGGATTTTCTATTAGTGCGAAGAAGGCACTCTAATATTGTATTTCTTTGCAGGACTTGTCAATCAATGTGTCCCTGCTAGTGAAGCTCGTTCGAAAGCTCTTGAAATTTCTCGTGATATAAATCAGAAGGTAAACTGAGATGAGATATTCTCTTCCTTGGAGATATTATTAGTCACATAAGCAGGAATAACTGAAACACACTTCTCGGTGAAGAATGACCATAATATTCGGGTGTCACTAATCTTAACTAATATACCGGTTTTTCGCCTCCTTTATGCAAGAATTTGAGGGTTGCTTTTTTTTTTTTGGTTATCTAGTTAATGCATAGTAAAAGTTTTCTTTTTCCTCATTCCTTCACCTTTCATGATCAAAAGAACATCGATATGAAGTCCTTTATCTGTGATAGGGACATTTGCAATACGTGTGGCGAAACAAGCTATCGATGGAGGATTGGAGCTTGATTTGTTGACATGTTTGGCTCAAGAAGACTGCTATGAGCAGCACTTGCACACAAAAGATCGCCTGGAAGGTCTCGCTGCATTAGCCGAGAGACGGAAGCCTAATTACACGAGCCAATAAAAAGTGCTCAATAAACATCAGTTATGGGAATTACTTTAAGCATGATCTATCAAAATCAAAAGATTGTGGTGTAAATGGATGACTATATTACTAAATTATTTGGCTTTTAATTTGAAAATTTCTAGTGAGCGATAGACACTGGTACACGCCCCTTAAGTAGTTTTATAAACTATTGTCTTGTGGTCTGGTTTTGGCCATCATGAAATGAAATCGATACTCACACGTGTGTTTGTCTTCACAAACAATGTCATTAACTCTATTTAAAAAGTCTTCGTACGACAAACTCTCCAAATTGAGTGTAAAACAGTTGACCTTGAGCAGTTATTGATCAATTTTATAGCCTAATGTTTAGCGTGTAAAACGGTTGATCTGGAGCAACAATTAAGTTAAAAAATCCTCCTTTCCCCCCCGCAANNNCTTGCCCCCCGCAAAAGAATGGAAGTTGGTTGGTGGTTTAGTAGAAAATCCACTTATTCCACGATCTTTGGCTCGCAAGGTAACATATGTAGTAGGTACTTGGAACAATTCGGCCAAATTGTGTAAGTCTGATTCACAAGAAATTCTCGATTTTTCCAACTCTCCATTTTCATTCGCCATCAAGAAGTGAAATCGATACTCACATGTGTGTTTGTCTCCACCAACAATGTCATTAACTCTATTTAAAAAGTCTTCATACGACAAACTCCCCAAACGCATAAAGTTCATCTCTGCCTGTCCATTTTTATAAACATTCTCATCCCAAAATCCGCTATGCACAATTCGAACTTTTTCACACATCTGTAAGCCAAAGATGTAAAAGTATTTAATGACAAAAATTTCTAGCAAGAAATATTTGAGAATTAAGTAATCAATGTTTATAATAAAACAAATAAATGGTTTATAAAATGATTTTTGAAATCACACTAATTGTTTTGACGATTCGAAAAACTTTTTTGGGATGTATCTATTGTTTCTGAGATCCCATAAACCGTGTTTCTTGTGATTCAAAACCGATTTCTGGGACAAGAAATCGATTTCTGGACTAGAAATCGATTTCTGGGAATAGAAATAGATTTCTTGTCCAGAAATTGGATTTCTGGTCCCAGAAATCGTTTTCTGGGCCAGAAATCACATTTCTAACACAGAAATCGATTTCTGGCCCAGAAATCGATTTCTAGACAAGAAATCACATTTATGAGAAAATGATTTCTAGGTACCAGAAATCACATTTTCGACCCAGAAATCTTATTTCTGACACAGAAATCAATTTCTGAGTCAGAAATGTAATTTCTGAGCTAGAAATCGCTTTCGTGATAAGAAATCGATTTCTTCACATTTCCGACCCAGAAATCGATTTCTGGTACCAAAAATGTGATTTCTAGACAAGAAATCGATTTCTAGTCCAGAAATCGATTCTTGTCAAGAAATCGATTTCTGAACTAAAAATTAATTTCTTGTCCTAGAAATGTGATTTCTGGATAGGAAATCATTGTTAGTCCAGAAATCGATTTCTGGAAATCGATTTCTTGTCAAGAAATTGATTTATGAACTAAAAATGTGATTTCTGGGTCAGAAATAAGATTTCTGGGTCAGAAATGTGATTTCTGGGCCAGAAATCGATTTATGGGACAAGAAACGAGACGATCCAGAAATCGATTTTTGAGTCAGAAATGTGATTTCTGGGTCAGAAATCGATTTCTAGGACAAGAAACGAGACTATCCAGAAATCGATTTCTGGGCCCAAATTCGATTTCTGGGCCCAGAAATCATTCAATGTTCCAAGAAATCTATTCTACAATTTTTCTTTTTTTTTGCCATATTCATTTTATTAATTTGAATAGTATATATATGTGCCCCATTAAAAAGAAGATAAATTGTAACAATACCTTTACACTAGTATTTCCGAGATATCACCGAAATGTTGCCGGAATGAATATAGAGAAAATGATTTTTATTTTTTTTTGTAAAAAGAGAATGATTTTTTTTTTGTTGTTGATATTAATGAAAAGAGTGAATGAAGTTAGTTGAAAAGGTAAGAGAGAAGAGAGATGAACTTTTTTTTTAAAAAAAAAAATGATATTAATGGTATTTTAGTCTTTTCATGTGCCAAAATGGCTAAAAAACATGTTTTTTTCAAACTATGGCTAAAATTTGTGTTAGACATTTCAACATGGCTAAAAAAAAAATTCACTGTAATAAAGTTTTGCCACATCACTTGATATCTTATTTATTTATTTAATTATTTATTTTTATTTTTATATTTTTAACATTAAAGTTGTGTATCTTAGTAAAAAAACAACTAAAGTATATTGAAATAAATTAACAAATTTAATAGAATCTAATTTGATAAAAGTTGTATTTGTAAATAAAATATTTAGATATTATAATAGGACAATTAAATTTAATTTAGATATTTATGGACGTATTATACATGAATGTGTCAGAAAATATTAACTGATTTCACACTTTTTTTCCAAAATAATAGAATATTTTAGATATTTTTTCATGTGTTATATTTTTAATACTTTAGATAGACATTTTGTTTATGCTTTTAGTATAAATAGGTAAATTGTATTACTTGTTAACTCATATCTTTATTATAAATACTAGTAATATTTCTACTTCTAGTTTATAAATATTATGTAATATCATTTACACGGCATTGATTTGTACTATTTATTCATCAACGGACTAGTAATATTTCTACTTCTAGTTTATAAATATTATGTAATATCATTTACACGGCATTCATTTGTACTATTTATTCATCAACGGCAGTATAAAATATATATAATTAGTGGTTAGGATTAATAAATTTACGAGAAATTTATATTATTTTGTAATCTTAAATGTAAAAATGGATGGCATTCACCGAATCTAGTATATCTAGTATTCAGAGTATTCGAGATGTATTCGAGATGCTGGGGTTTTGTCTTGATTAAAGGGGATAGTCATGTTCTTATTTATGTCCTCGTTTCTTTGTTTTAGCCATCTTGTCGGCATCCGCTATCCCATCTGATTATTTTGGTCCTGAGTTTTGGTA